CGTCGTTTTTGGAATCATGTCTATTCATGGAAAGCCACCCACCCCCTTCCCCCCTAGGTCCCCAGTCAGTGCTTCGTGCAGTTTTCTACCATGACATCGGGCACATGGGCGTGTCCCGAGAGAGGGAAAGAGGGAAACTCTTCTCTTTCTCTGGCGATGGATGGTTCCCCTTTTTATGTTGAAGTCCATCCGTAGAGTTTTATTCCTCTGCCATACTTTTCCGCATGTTTTCTGCTTTCCATCAATGTTATGTCCAATAATCTGTCCAATAATCTGTCCAATAATCTGTCCAATAATCTGTCCAATAATCTGATTAAGCATTTGTTTCAAGAAGGCTCGCACTGCCGTGAAAGTTAGTGTTGGTGTTAGGGTTCGGGTTAGCGTTATGATTAACGTTAAAGTTATGGTTAGCCTTAGTGTTGGGGTTACGATTCGGGTTAGTGCTAAACTTAGGGTTAGCGTGAAAGAGAGGTTTAGTGTAAGGGTTAGGTTTAAGGTTAGGTTAGCGTTAGTTTGAGGGTTAGGTTTAAGATTAGGCTAGGGTTAGCGTTAAAGCTAGTGTTCAAGTTATGATTAGCGTTGAACGTATAGTGTTTAGCCCAAAGTGTTCCTTCATGTTTCACTCGAATAGTAGCACGTCACATAACCATTACCTCTCTCGTCCGTTCACAGTTTGCAAGGAGCAGTTGGGCTTGCCCCCCTACGGCAGGATCACGGCCTCGACTTCCAGAAAGTTCCAGAAGGGCAGCTCGTGCCAACCGGAGGACGGTCATATTCTCAGCAGCAAGGCCTGGTGCTCCAAGAAACAGAATGGTCAGTAGCGGGTGTCACACTACCAGTTATCTTAGTGTGTGTGTGTGTGAGTGTGTGTGTGTGAGTGTGTGTGTGTGTGTAAGTCTGTGCGTGAGAGTGTGGAGTGTGTGTGAGTGTGTGTCGACATCATCATACATGAAATACACGTGATCCGATTATATGTTTAGAGCCTCGATGTTCAAACATTCATTCTTCCTCTTTAGAGCCTCGATGCTCAAACATTCATTCTTCCTCTTTAGAGCCTCGATGCTCAAACATTCATTCTTCCTCTTTAGAGACTCGATGTTCAAACATTTTCCCATTTTATTGCTATTTCCCATTTGTTCTGGATGTGATTAGTTTTGATTAACAAAGAATGTTTAATTTGTGATACTCTGTTCATTAATTGGCAAACTATTTTAAATTGTATGTCTCCATACAAAGACACTATATATTTCAAAGGGGAGGCATAGAACGCCCCCCGCCCCCTTTCATACACAAAGAAGATAGCAATAGACTATAGATGGATTTTAAAAATTATGTTTCATATTCACTAAAGTAAGTCTTTTGCCGAAACCCATCCATCAGTCCATTTGGTGCTACAGTCCATGTAGGGCTTTGGCCTGCCTCACCACTTCCTTCCACTCAGACCTAACTAATGCTTTTCTTTTCCGTGCTTGGATTCCCAGCAGGCCGACAGGCCACAAAAATAAACAAATTTGAGAACCTCTTCTGTGTAATCCTAGTTGTAGGATCCGCTTTCATTCTTACATTCCAAGTCCCCCCCCCTCACCCCCTTCCATAAAGAACCGCAACCCGCTCAGACCTGGTGTCGTCTGTTATGTCTGACCAGGTCCATACAACAACATTAACACAAATGTCTTGTCATGGGGGAAAACTAATTGTCAACGGCTGACGACTCTCCACAATATTTACTTCCACTGGGTCTACTTGCAAGCCTCACTTTATCCAGGGGGTTACTTTTGGGGCTGCTGCCGGCCTTACGTTACTGACGTGGTGCCCTTGGAGGTTACTGCAACCGGTTCTTACGCGTTACGCGCCATTGGTTATAGTACCGGTAACCTTCAGCCCGACCAGTGGACCCTTCATTTCTAAGTCTGTTGATGCAGTGATTGTTAAGTCTTCAACTCTTAGACAATGTTTCCTAACATGCGTGCGACGTTTCAAGAATCCAGGTTCCATTAAATTTACGTCAGCGTCACGTGACTTCAGAAGTTGAGTTACTTAGGTCAGTTCCTTCCTCGGAACTCTGACCACACAATTTGTTACAGAAAGTAGAATTTTTTTTTATTTCGCACACACTTTTTAAAACACCAATTTGTTTATACTTAAAAATAAAAGACAGGAATCACGTGATTACAAAAGTGTGGGGACGGACGTTTTTTTTTT